GGTAAGGAAGGATTATGAAAATACCATTGCTAGTCTGAAACGAAAAATGATCACTCTTGAGGATAAGGCAGCTAAGCAAGCCCAAGCTCTTGAAACCGAAAGTGGACACTGCTATGATTTACTGGCGAATGGAAGTAGAAATACAGCAGCTACAGAGACAACATCTTCAGGATTCTCAGGTTTTGGAGGCCCGTAATGATCAGATAAGGCGCTTGCTCATAGAAAAAGGTCGAACCAGGAATAAGATTGAGACTATTGCCCATGCCATCATCAAGAGATGTCGACTGTGTGAAGACATGACCCGCACCACCTTCTTTTCAACCATAATGATTTATGTCAAGCGGACAATGTATGAACTGGAGCAACTTGAAAGGGATCTCGCACCTAATCCCGCGGCGAGGCCGAACGATGCCCCGCGGGCACCCATTTTTAAAGCTTTAATGTACTCATAGTTCGAGTTTGTATTTTCATTTTAGAGTCTGTTGTTTGTTTGTTGGCTTCCTTTTCGCATCAGTAGTTTTTGAGTCTATTAGTTCCCTTTTCAAAAATGTTTAGTTTGTAATATAATGTTTTAGTATTGAAAATTGAAAATTCCCAAAAATTGTTCTTTATTTTTCGCATTTAATTTTCACGAACTACGCTTGGTCTGATTCTTGCGGGGTCGCGATACGTAGGCAATCCTCATCGGATTCGACCGTAACCGTAAAGAGAAGAGCAAAAAGAGGGAAGAAAATAAAGGAAAAACAAAAGAAACAAAAGAGCGGAAGAAAAATCAAAGGAAAAACCATGGCAAAAGAAAAAGGGAAAGCAGAAAATGAAGAAAACTGAGGGAAAAACAAAGTGGGAGAAAACAAAAGAAAGCTGGGATGACGCATGCAACCGTGCAAAACACGTAGAAATCCATTTAATTATGTAGGTGCATCACACCCCAATGTGAGATTACCTATCTGTTATTTGTCCCAAACTAACCGTTTCTCAATCTCACGTCACAGCCAGGTTTATAGAAACAGGTGGTTGGTTTTGTGGTAAACTGGCTTCGCACCATTACTTTACCAGATTTAAAGGTAGTACAGAAATGTCGTCAGAAATGACCCTACCAACAATCCCTATTTCGGAAGATAGCCCACTCTTAGGCGTCCCGGCCTTAGAGTCCGCAGTGGCCGAAGAAAACAGAATCTTACGTCTGAGGGTAATGGAGATGTGGGATGCATGGACAAATGGAAAATAACCCCCGAGTGTCATCCCTGGATTTCCCGAGTTGTTCCCAAGACCAACGGGTACCTTTAACATTCCCATCAGCCACCCGAACATCCCTCTAGGACAACCTACTATATCCGCTCATTTCGTAGGAGCAACTTCTGAGGTCCGGCCCCAGGCATTCATACTCGGGACAACTCCAAACATTTTCACTGCTCCACCATCTTCTGCTACAACATAGCCCGCAGTCCCAAGGCCTATGTTTGATCCATCAGCCTTCACTTATCAAACTCCTACTTACCAGCCAGAAATTTCTCCATACTCCGCATATGCTTACCCTCAGCCACCACCATATGAGTTTACATCGGGGCAAGACAAAACCCCTAAAGCCCCAGAGCAAGATGAGATGGCCAGGAGAATGAGGAGCCTTGAACAGAGCTTAAAGAACATGCAAGGTTTAAGCGGGCCAAAGAGTGTCTCTTATACAGATTTGTGTATGTTTCCGCATGTACACTTGCCGTCAGGGTTCAAAACACCAAAATTTGAAAAGTATGACGGGCACGACGACCCCATTGCTCATTTGAAGAAGTATTGCAATCAGTTACGGGGGGCCAGTGGCAAAGAAGAATTGTTGATGGCATATTTTGGGGAAAGCTTAATCGGCATAGCTTCAGAGTGGTATATGGATCAGGACATATCTCGATGGCACATTTGGACGTTCTTGCCAGAGATTTTGTTCGACAATTTCAGTACAACATAGACATTGCACCGGATAGGAATTCTTTGACAAATCTAAGGAAAAAGCCCTCAGAAAGCTTAAGAGAATATGCCATTAAGTGGCGCGAACAAGCATCAAGAGTGAATCCTCAAATGGATGAGGTAGAGATGGTCACTGTCTTCTTGCAAGCCCAAGAGCCTGATTACTTCCAGAATATGATGTCGGCCATAGGAAAGCCTTTCGCAGAGGCAATTAAAATCTGGGAAATGGTAGAAAATGGTTTAAAAACGGGTAGAATCTTGAGCCAGTCGGCCATAAGAGCGACCTCCCAAGCCATCCAAGGCGGGTCTGGAGGAATGTCCAAAGGGAAAAGGAAAGAAGAAACGGTCATGGCAGCGTCAGGAGGAAGGAGATACCAGGATCATAGACCGGTGTTCTCCGAAAGAATACCTCAACACTATTATCCTCACAATGATATGGCCTACGCTCCCTCACCTTATGCGGTCATGAATTCTCAACCTTTTGGCCGACCGCAACCACAAGCCAACCGAAATTCACCTCCATTCCAAAGAAACCAACCTCCTTACCAGAACCAATATAATCCCCGACCACTACAAAATAACTTTCGCCCCCGGGAACCATCCAGGAGTCCCAACTTTACACCAATCGGTGAACCCTACTCCACCATGTTCCCTAAGCTTGTCCAGATGGATCTGCTGCAGCCTATTCCCCAAAACAGGCAGAATCCGGAATCTCCAGCTTACCAACGAGGTGTCCACTGTGCTTATCATTCAGGAGCTGAGGGGCATAGTACTGATAACTGCTGGACCTTGAATAAAGCAGTGGAAAATTTGATTGAACAAGGAAAAATAGTGTTGAGGGACGAAGAAGCCCCGAATGTGACCAATAATCCATTGCCCACACATAACAATGGGTCGGTAATCGGGATGATCTGTGAAGACAAAGAGTTCGATCCCACCTTGAAAGCCATAATTGCTATTGCTGATGCAGAAAGAAAGCCTAAAGCAACCCCGAAGCAGGAGAAAGGGGGAAAGAAGACTAAAACTGTCAAGATTGAACTCGAAAAGAAGGTTGAAACAAAAGCAGAGATGGCACCTCCGAAAAATATGGTTCTCTATATTCTGCGAGGTCGCCAAGAAAAGCCATTAATCGTGGGTATTCCAAAGAAATTTGAAGTGAAAAAGGGAACACCAACGTATGTGCCAAAAGGAGCCTATGTGGTCCGGGGGACGATTAAACCGCCTCAGCTGAATGAGCTAGTGGTTATCGGACGCGTGCCACAGAAGCCAATAACGGACCCGCCTGCGGTGCCATGGAATTATCAACAGACATTCGTTACATACAAAGGTAAAGAAATCACGGGAGAACTTCCGGGAAATACCGTCGCTAGGAAATATTCAGATGTACAAGAAGTGAACAATGCCACACAAAAGCGCTTTCCATCCAAGAAGCCTGTAAGTGCTGAGGAGGCAGAGGCTTTCTTCCAGAAAATAAAGATGCCTGATTATGAAGTGGTGGATCAGTTACGCAAGTACCCTGAACAAGTGTCTATGCTATCTTTGTTAAAGAGATCTGCCGAGCATCAAAAGACCCTAGTGAAAACTCTGAATGAGGCGTATGTGCCTGCTGAGACTTCAGTTGAACAGCTTGAAAGAATGGCAGAAAGGTTCTTTGTTGTTAGTCAAATTTCCTTTAGTAAGAACGATTTGCCTCCAGAAGGATCGGCTCACAACAAAGCTTTACATCTGACTGTCAAGTGTGAAGGTTTTTATGTCAAGTGAGTAATGGTGGATGGGGGTTTGGGTGTTGACATTTGTCCACTCTCTACATTGCAGAGAATGGAAATCGGGACTGGAAAGATTCGTCCCAATAACATCTGTGTAAGAGGTTTTGATGGCATTAAGAGGGATACCTTCGGAGAGATAGATCTGGTATTAACCATAGGCCCGGTGGATTTCGAGGTGACCTTCCAAGTGTTGGACATGGATACATCTTACAACTTCCTCCTAGGAAGAACTTGGATCCATGCCACGGGGGCTGTACCTTCCACCCTTCACCAAATGGTAAAGTTCGAGTATGAAGATCAGGAAATTATGGTCTACGGAGAAGACGAGCAGTCTATTTATCGGGACCCATCTATCCCATGTTTGGAGGCTAGGGAGGGAAGTGAACACATTGTTTATCAGGCTTTCAAAGTTGTAGTGGCAGATCAGTACGAAGAGAGGAGCCCTTGCCCCCAACCTTTCCTATCTAATGCTTCGATCATGGTGGAAAAAGAGATGATCAAACATGGTTTCAAGCCGGGAAAAGGATTGGGAAAAGCTCTACAAGGAATATCAGAGCCAATAACCCTACCCACAACAGAAAAGTTTTTCGGGATAGGTTTCCACCCTACCCCAGAAGATGAAGATTGGGCAGATGAGAGGAAAATTGAAGGATGGGCCTTGCCACATCCATTGCCACATCTATATCAGACCTTTGTCAAGCCAAAATACAGCGAGAATGAAGATGGTGAGGCCTTCACGGCCGAAGAAATCAAAGATATATGTGGAGCTATGAGGCAAATGCTTTATGAAACCAACATTGTTCAGCTAGGGGAAGGTACTAGCACCACTGAGGTGCTCTACATGGGACCAGATGGTAAACTTCAAAATTGGAAGGTTACGCCATTCCCGATCAGGCGGGAGTCCGGGTAGACTTGTCCTACCACTTTTCCTGCATCACGCGTTATCCCAGGGTGTGGCTCGGATGTTTGTTCTTTAGGTTTTCTGTCTTTAAATTCCTGAATGTAAACCCTGTTATCTTCCCAATCCCAAGAAATGAAATCAATATTTCATCGTTCATTCTCTTTATTCTTTCTGATTTTTCCTATTTTTCTCTTTTATTTCTTCTTTTCAGTTATAATAATGCGGCTTTAAATAATATGACATGCTTGCGGACTTCACGCCCAGATCCATACACGCTATCTAATTGTGAAATCATGAACCAAGAACCGGAATATGATGAAGAAGAGGCTTTTAGGGAAATAAATCGAGAACTGGAACAATTTGAGAATAAACCTAAGCCGAAATTGAATGATATAGAACCAGTTAATTTGGGAACTTCTGAAGAAATTCGGGAAACAAAAATAAGCATTCACACTGATGAGAAAATGCGGGATGCAATAATTCAACTTCTGTTTGAGTTTAAAGACGTGTTTGCTTGGTCATACGATGATATGCCAGGATTAAGTGTCGATCTAGTGGTGCATAAATTGCCAATTTACCCTGATTGTCCTCCGGTTCAGTAGAAACAAAGAAAGTTTAAGACTGATATCAGCGATAAGATCAAAGAAGAAATCACAAAATAGCTGAAAGCAGGGGTAATCCGGGTGGCCCAGTATACTACGTGGATGGCTAATGTAGTTCCCGTGCCAAAGAAAAAATGGGAAAACCTGGGTGTGTGTGGATTACCGAGATTTGAACAGGGAAAGCCCCAAAGACAATTTCCCTCTGCCCAACATCCACATCCTTGTAGATAACTGCGCCAAACATGAGATACAGTCATTCGTGGATTGTTATGCAGGATATCACCAGGTGTTGATGGACGAAGAAGATGCCGAGAAAATAGCTTTCACTACACCCTGGGGTACCTACTGTTACTGAGTTATGCTGTTTGGTTTGAAGAATGCTGGGGCAACCTATATGAGGGCCATGATTGTCATTTTTCATGATATGATGCATCGGGAGATAGAGGTGTATGTGGATGATGTGATTATCAAGTCTAGAACCCAGGATGACCATGTTCGATACTTGAGGAAATTTTTTGAAAGGTTGCGCAAGTATGATTTGAAGCTGAATCCGGCTAAATGTGCCTTCGGAGTCCCATCAGGCAAACTTATGGGCTTCATAGTCAGCAGGAGAGGTATCGAGTTAGATCTAACAAAGATAAAGGCTATCCGAGATC